ACACTGTGAGCTTCTTATATTGTGTGTTAGAAGCTACAGCAAGTCATAGCCTGCCCTATTTTCTGGTTGGAAGATGTCCAGCATCATCTAGCTCCTTCCTCCCCCACTTGACTGTCCCTTGTCTGCCCCTTTTACTCATCTGATTTCAGGTTATTTCAATCATGGAGGCTCAGCATCACATGTGGGAGTTGCCTAGAATGGTCTATACAAATCTGCCCAGGAACACTCACTCCTCCAGACTGACATCCCACCATCAAGGCATTTTGCATAACTCCTCCAAGAGCCAGCCCACTGCTTGCATCAGCAACAGGGGCTCTTGAGATGAGTACTGAGACAGGGTACTGTGATGTTTTCAGAAAGCTACATACAGGCCCCTGCTTGGTCCCTCCCACCAGCCATGATCTGCCTGAATTGCAGGGAGACGTGCAGAGGCACAGTAATCAGTTCCTCTAAAAGAAGGAAAGTAAAAAGTCAGATTTTTTTTTATTTTACTAGCATGTTGGTGAAGGGATAAGTAGATGTGGCAAAATATACTAAATATTTAAAGTAGAACTAAAGGCAAACTTTTAAGTAAGAAAGGGTGATAACCCCTGTCAGATTTTTGCCATCTGTGTCCCATAGGAGAGATACTCCTGCACTTCTTGCCCCATAGCCAAAACAGGAAGTGAGGGGAAACCCCTCCTAAGTGTGGTAATCCTGGGGTGGCACCAGAATTAGTGTCCCCATTGGAAGATTTCCTCTATATTCTTGTTCTGGTGTTAACCCAAAATATGGAATTTTCTTGTGCTTCCACTTTCGATGATAATGATAAACAGGACAAATAGAGAGGGTGAATCTCCCTAATGGGGGCACAGACAGTGATAAAAACCTGACAAGAGTTCTAATCCCTCAACAAACTATCCAAAAGATTTAAAAAAAATTGCCTTTATGTGTACTTTAATTGCTGTCTGCAGCTGAGTTGAGGAGACTTCCCTCACTTCCCCTTGGTTTACACTATTGCGAGCCGTGTGGTAAGCATTTTCTGGGGCATGGCAACCCATTCATTTTAATGGGCTGCTGTGCCTGCATTTTCTGTAGAGAAAAGGTGCATGCACCTTTTAAAAAAAGCGGCCAGCAGGGAAATCGCATGGTCCTTTTGACCATATGATTTCCCTGTGGTTGCCACACCCAAAAATGTGCTGCAGGTTGAAATGCATGGGGACCCCATTCATTCTGAATGGCAGCCCTGTGCGTCTTGTAAGACCAACAGGATTTGGCTGCGGGTGGTTGTGGGTGCAGGAACAGGTGCAATTCCTGCACCCACAACCAGCCTGCCGACTGCAGGCAAGTGTGAACCTAGGCTTCCTGAACCAATGCCAATATCGTCACCCGGACAGGAAGTGAACAGAAACCCTCAGTAGGGACACAGCTGTGAAAACCTGACAGAGGTTGCAAGCCTTCATTGGTCTGACCAATACAGAATGGTTTTTGCTGCAGTTATACCTTAAATTATTCTTTCACAGAAAAAATCACATTCTGCTACAAATTACACTGTATATATATAGTGTTACATTTAAAAGGAGACAGACGGCTAGTGTAACATATAGGATCATTGGTTTTACGGAATAGTTTTTTATTGGATGAAGCGTCTGCAAAAAAAGATTAACGTAACAAATAAACATTTTTATGATTTTTTTCTTGCTGTTATTTATTAGGACTGTACCTAAAAACCTGCCCAGGTAAAATGGAAATGGAAGTCTGAAAGTCTGTGAAGTAACGTGTAGACATAACTGGCGCTGTAACACAGACTGCGATAGGATGGCGGCGCTGTGCGGTCTTTGGTGTTCCTCGAGTGATTAACAGAGTTCATTTATCGAGCCTCTGACAGATTTACACACTGACAGGATCTTTATTGTAGGCTGGAGATCCACAAAAAAAATCTATTTTTCTGCCAAATTAACTCCTTCTGTATAATTAAAATGAAATCTGTGCCATATAATTCTGTTCCCCCACACACCCCGCTTCTACAAGTTTCTACATTTTTTTACAGGCAAAAACAAAAGATTTACAGTGGTCCCCCCCGCTTCTCTTCTTCCAGCCTTTTCATATACATTATGTCAATTTTCCATCCTTCCATGCATCTCTACAATTCAGTGAAATTTTATCACTACACCCTGTAGGATGCATAACCCTCCAGTCTTTTGCAAGCCTGTCCTTTGACGGAACAGTGGCTAAGTGCCCCAGCTTTGAAGCACTAAGAGTCTGGATTCAGTTACTGCCAAGCGTATTGTTTGCCTGTACTTTTTTTTCCTGCGTATGTGAATAGGTTTCCTCTGGGCTGAAGTAGATGTAACATCAGATACATGTTTTCATATTGTGTTCAGCAAGGTAATCAATCCCCCCCTCCCAACACTGCCTTTATCTGCTCTTCTCTTTGGAAGGACATCATCCAGGCTAACCTACTACTTCCTGGACTGAGATGCTGGCTCAGAAGTGACATAATAAAGTAAATTCTGGTGACTGTACAGTTCTAGGTTGTATTCACAAATGTCTTACACTGATCAGCCCCTGCTGCATCTTCCCACCTTGTGACTTGCTTCAGAGTTACAATGTTGCAGTTTGATCATTGAGGGAGAGGAGACTGAGGAAATGCTTTCTCTTGCTTGCAGTGGACTGATGACTCGTCTCAGCCTTGGAAAGTCACTAACTGGAGCTTAAAGAAAGGGTTTTTACAATACAAGTGATACAGTTGTATATTTTGACATGCCAGGAATTTATTTGTGCAGGTTTGTTATGTTAATGCAGTCTGATCAATGGGGAAGAGGAGACTGAGGAAATGCTTCCTCCTGCATGCAGTAGACTGATGACATCTCAGTCTAGGCAAAGTTACTGGATTGAAGCTTAATGGGCCGCTTTTTAATGATAACAGGTGCAGCTTTTCTGATAAATGATCCTGTTGCTACATATTGTGACATGTCAGGAATTTATTCATGCAGACTTGTAAAAATCCACTTTATTAGTTGAAGACAACAGGGTAATCTAAAGCATGAATTGTAAGCATAATTCAGGGGGATATACCAATAAAATGTTGGTGGCGAGTTCACTTTAACAAAGCTTTCCTTGGCATGCCCTTGCGCTCGGGTCTTGCAGCGCTTCACACCTCCTGCGAATCTGGTTTGGAAAGCAGAGATATTAATCACAGACACTCCTCCTCGCAGCTCAGCAATATCCCCCGAGATTAAGTTCATATGAGACATGCTTCAGTGCGAACGCTTTTTCGAGTTCTCTCTCTCGATATTGAAACATTTAACTATCCCTGCAGTGGGTGAGACAAGACTGCGGCTCTGTGCCTCATTACTCCCTTCTAGAGGGGAGAACGCCTGCAACATCAATTTAGAAATTAATCTAAGACAAAAATAAAAGAGATGCTTCCTGACTGCAGCACTTTGACAGCACTCCTAACCTTCTGTGGGGCCTTGAGAGGAATGCTGTCTTCCCATAATTCACTAGCCGGGGTCCATAGTTCCAGATTAATGAAGCTTTCCATCTGATGGGCCCATATACATTTCAGCATCAGAACTATAAAGTGTTATCAAAGTGTTTCCAGCTTTGTAGATGGAGAAGGCTTCAGGGTGGGAAACGTGAGAAACTTTTCGGCACATTTCTGCAGCATCAGCATCAAATGGGGAGAACATAATAATAAAGCAAGCTTCGTTTGGAATTGAACAATTATGGCAGCACATTGTGGATCATGGCAAATCATCTTACATGGGTCGCTGTCTCCAACTTTCTGGTCTCTCTACATTGCTCAGACTACAGATTTAGCGTTTTTTTCATCTCACGGGACACTGGAAAGTCTTGCACCAGTATTCTATTAAATGGTACTTTATTTGTAGTCCTGTGATCTATAAAACAGCAAGTCAGACAAGATGAATCATATGATCCTATTTGAAGTACTGCATGTAAGCATTACCCTGCATGCTTTATATAGTGTCACTTCCTCCATAATGCAAGTAGTGTGCGAAAGAATCGTAAGATCAGGTGACTCACCTAATTGACTTGTTCTTTATGGAAACTGGAACTAAAAATAAAGTCCTTTTCTAATGGGCAATAAGAGTTTAGATTTTGTAGCTCTCTTGGGTTGAAATATTATTAATGGAGGAGGCTAAAAATCACCAGAAATTTTAGTTTAACTCCATCCTTCCCTTCAGTCTTGCACAACTGTACAGGATTCTCTCTGTACTGAAATTGCTTACTCTGATTTCACTGCACACGGTGAGCCCCACACAATGTGCATTAGAAGCTGCAGGAGGTCAGACAGAGCCCACCTCATTTACTGGCTGGAAGATACCCAGCATCATCTAGGTCTTTTCTTCTCAGTCCACCCCTGGCCCATTGCATTCATATATTGGGTTTCACTACTTTCAATCAGGCAGGCTGAACACCACATTGTGGTATTACTTAGGGCGGATATCATGCAAACACAGTTTACCTAGGAATGCCCGCTTCTACAGACTAATATCTATTCATCAGGATTTTTGATATTTGCATAACTCCTCCCAAAAGACTACAGGGAGGGAGGGCACCTTCCATTTCCGATCGCCTAGGCGATTGGATCGGAAGTGGGAGTGGGTACCTCTCAAATTTGGGTACCTGCTCCCCCCCGCTCTACAAAGGTGCCAATCCTTAATGGGGAGCGGGGGGGGAGTAGTCCTTAAAGTGGAACTTTAACCACTTCCCGTCCGGCCGTTGTATATAAACGGCCAGACGGTGGCACTGCAGGGTCGGGTGGCCGTCTATAAACGGCCTCCCCGCACCCTGCTTATGCGCGCTCCCTGGGAGCGCGCGCAGCACCGCGAACCGGTGCCTGCTGTGTCCTCCGGACACAGTGAAACACCGATCGTTGGACGGGACCTCTGTACGAGGTCCCGATCATGTGATCACTGATTGGCCAATCAGTGATCACATGCAAAGTAGTAAGCAAGATGTCACTTGTGACATCATTGCTTACTACGTGTGAAATCTGTGAATGATCACAGAGGTCACATGGTACAAGGCTATTCACAAAAGCCTTGTACCATGTGACAAGCTGTGACCAATCACAGCTCACTCAGTACTTCTCAATGAGTGCAAGAATGCACACAGAGAGAAAGAGAAATGATTCCTTTTACATCCTATATGGGTGTAAAAGCAATCAGTGTAAAAAAAAAAAAAAAAAAATCTTCATCACCCCCCACAAGTAGTACAGTGTCACCATGGTGACACTGTACTGCTAGGGTGACCGTATGTAAAAAAAAAAATAAAAATAAAAAATAATAATATAAAAAAATAAAATAAAAATTGAAAAAAAAAAGTTTAAAAAATTATAATTTGTGCTTACAAACTAATTTGGATTTTTTTTTTTTTTACTAAAAAGATAACGGAATACATTTTGGCAAAGATTTATGATGAAATATTATTTATTTGCAAAATTTTTATAAAAAAAACACTTTTTTTTCAAAATTTTTGGACATTTCATTTACATAGCAAAAAAAATACAAATCCCAGTGGTGAATATATACCACCAAAATAAAGCTTTATCTGTCTCAAAAAAATGGTAAAAAAAATTCATTTGGGTACAGTGTTGCATGACCGCGCAATTGTCATTCAAAGTGTGATAGCGCTAAAAGCTGAAAATTGGCCTGGACAGGAAGGGGGTAAAAGTGTCCTGGACAGGAAGTGGTTAACAGCATTAAAACTTTTGGATATTATAAAATATAATTATGATGATGATTACTATTATTATTACTACTGCAATTGTTTATCCAAGATACCAGACCCTATTGTATGCAGACAGCTCTGCTGATGCCTGTCCTTGAATTAGGTATACTTTATGTTAAGATCAATGACACATAGAAGCATAGAAGAGTTATTAAAACTGGGGCACACAGAATCTGGTGCAGCTGTGCATAACCAAACAGCTTCTAGCTTTTATTGGCAAAGCTTAATTGAGCAAGCTGAAGTTAGAAGCTGATTGGTTACTATGCACAACTGCACCAGATTCTGCCTGCTCCAGTTTTAGTAAATACCCCCCTGTTACAGAGAGCGTTATCCAGGAAAGCTCCACCAAAATTTTTCAATGAGACCCCATTATTACTAGTTATGCCCCTGGTTCCTGAATCATCACAGCCTTAGGTCCCCTTCACTTTGTTGCATTCCAGTTGTCATGTTAGTTAGTTATCATGATATGTTACCACACATGCGCTATATCGCGCATTTCTGTGCATTACTGTTAGGCAGCCCATTCATTTTGAATTTGAATGGGCTGCCAACACACAGCAATGAAGAAAAAAATGCGGAGGATTGCAACACAGTGCATGTGTTGTGCTGCATTGTAGTGCATTGGCACCTGCTGCACTTGTGCATTGGTTGTCATTTGAAATAAAGACTACTGCAACACACTGAACAAAGTACCCTGTATAACAGTGCATTGGAGGAATGCACACGCATTTTACTTTTTACTGCAACACATAGGAGAGCCTCAGACTGAGAGTTGTAGAAAAGCTGAAGATAATGGAGCCATCCAACTAAAAGTCTGCAGAATCAGCTCAATTACTGCACTTCTATATGTGCTCGCAATGTGCTCAAATTTAGTTCTGTTTACAGGATAGTTCAGTGTAGGTTGGAATTGCATTGTGTGGTGTCACCAAAACTTCTATATGTATTATAAATTCTGGAATTTCCAACCTCTGTGTTCAAAACTCACCTAAATTTTTACTCCAGAAGATATGGTATAATATAGCTTTATGGTAATGCAGCCTGAAAGGAGTGAGATTACCCTACAATAATAATCATCTCCTGCCCCGCATTTGTAATTTCCAGGGTGACTTCAAAGGAGAATATCATTAACATAATAAAGTATTAATTTATATCACCAATAATGTGTTACCTGAATAGTTTTCTAATGAACTGGAAGAATTCTGAAGATTTCATTTAATTGTCACGCATGTCGCTGTCGATAGGGGCTGCTGCTTGTGCCCGGAGGGCTGCGAAATACACGGGAGGGGGATGTCTCTACTATATTATTTCCATCATGTTTTACCATTACAGGAAAAGACACAAGTATTAGAAATGGGTGTTACAAGAGCGTGCTGACATTTTATCAAGATCTCAGATTAACATCATACAAACAATGGAACCTGATTGACCTTCCACAAAGCCAATTTATCGAAAATAAGTTGTTTTCAAGGCTGAGGTTTAGTGGAGCATTACTGAAAAATGCATAAAACATTTTTAATTCCCCCGAGAATTGCTGGAAGTATTATTAACATTTATTTTAAAGGTATAACAAATAATCAATAAATAAAGAATTAAAGAATTCCAGGCATGGTATATTTTTACATAGTTACATTGGTTCAGCTTGGACTGTTGGAACAGTGTATACACCATACATGAATGATGTCCCTGGAAGCTGAAAATCACTGAAGCAGACACCACTACTCCAGTGATCTCCACTTACTTCCAGGTTCCGTACTGAGCAGACAGCCTGTTACATTGTGAACAGAGGAGGTCAGTTGCTAAGCACAGGTGCCATTCAGAGAATGCTTTGCATTTTCTGAATGATTGCAAAGTGTTCTCTGATTCTCTTGATCTCGTGATGTCACTGCCCTGCCTCTGTAACTTGTCCAATCAGATCAGGTCAAGAGTACGTGTCATCTGCCAGTGCTATCACATAAGTTGCTTGTTATCCCCCTTGTAACAGAAATAAACTTGAATGCAAAAAAATGCTAAAAAAAGGTACCTTATAATAAAAATAAAGACAAAAAAAAATTAACGCAACTCTGTCACCACACATGTGAATGTAAATTTGAGCATGCGGCGTTCTCGTGTATGTAAACAGTAATTTTTCCACACATGTGGAATGTCGGAGTGAGAGCAACAATTCTAAGGCCATCAATCATCATTCATAGTTAACTCTTAAATGATGAACTGTAAAGGCTTTTAAAGCATCACCTACAGACAATTTGGGTTACTGTATTTTTTGCCATTTTACGGGTGCACACAATTTTTAGCTTGTCGTGTTCGATGTCTAATTACTTGATGCAACCCCATATTTTATATTTGACCGAAAACTGGTTATTATATTATGTTTGTGTACATTAAAATGCATTTTAGTGCATTTTTTATGGTAAATACGTGTTTGACAAACAGTTGAGCTGTGCAAATTTCATGCAATATAAAAATGTCAGCGTTCATTATTTTGTTTTACAGGGTCTCTGCTCTCAGAAAATATAGAATTGTAATTTTCTAGCAAAAAATGCAGATTTTATCATATGTGTGAAAAATGAAAAATTGCTCAGAATACGAAGTAGTTAAACTTCTGATCTTAGTGTGTTATAGTGTAAGATGTAAGGATACGTCCAATTGTGTACAGATAACACTTCTACAAATGATTCAACTCTCCTCCCAGCATTAGTCCCCTTCCTATCTGGAGCTTTCATTAAGTTCCCATATGTTCACAGTGCTGTTTGTGATTGATCTGTGTCCCCAGCATCCTTCCAACACTTGGACATCCAGCCATGGTCCTATAAGATGTATTCACTGTACATGACCACCATCATGACATTGCTCTGGCCTCTAGAGATGGCCATATGAAGGATTGTTTTATTGCTCTGCTCCTGTGTGTCCTGTCTTAAAGTACAAATACAGATTCCTGTATGACAGTCTAATGACTTCCATATCCAGTTACTATGTGATACACAAGTCTCGTAGAGTAAACCTTCCTTGACTGAACCAAATCCTCCGTCTTTTGTGTCTCACACACTCCCCCTCCCAGACACTGCAGCTCACAGTGGGAAGGATTCAACAACAGAGGCAGTGCTGTCAATCCAAAAAAGCATTTGGGGGGACTAGGTTTGACCAGGTGCTGATTACCAAGCTAGAGGCAAGCTATGGCGATAGCCACACCTCCTGCAATATCTTCTCCTCCCATTGTAGTGCAAGCAGTCTCACCCTACATGAGAGTGACAACTCTGCTCTGAATTCAGAAGCTGCGCAACACTTACCACCCCACCACAGAAAACTGCATTAGGTGGACTGTCAGGATCAACAAATATTTCTGGGACTTTGCAGAAGGACTAGGAGAAAAATGTAAATGCAGATGCACCTATGATTAAGTTCTACAGCACTCCAGCCTTTCCTTCAATCACAGTTGTACCGGCTCCTCTCCTGTACTGAAATTACTTGCTCTGATTTCAGTGCATACTGTGAGCTTCTCACAATCTGCATTAGAAGCTGCAGCAAGTCAGATAGAGCCCACCTCATTATCTCACTGTGTGGCATTGCTAATTCAAAAGTAGAGCTGGCCAATGCAGTTATGAACGTTGTTAAGTTGTGTGCATACACTGATAAGACACATAAGGCTGGTTCCACATTTTCATACCGATTTACATATTTCTCTAAAAACAAATATTAGTTCTCTTTTTCATACATCACTCGGACATTTCCCATGTGGCTTCACTGCCGGTTTCAGTGTGGTATTACCTATAATATCATCATCAAGTCACTTGGAGTGTGTTTAGAGCAGTGGAAGTACCTGGAGGTGTAATAGCTCCATAACATCCTATCACACTTCTCTTGAGAACACGTTTAAAATGTTTTACTGTAATGCAATGCAAATGAGGCTGATGATACTCTTCATAGTTAGGCTTTAGGAATGAGAGTCGGTGAACCGTGGAGGAATTGTGAAAAAGGTTAGTGCGTCCGCGCCTGTCTGGACTCCTGGGCTGGCAGAGGAAAGAGATCTCGGCTTCCCATCATGCCACTCGCTCTTTTATTACTCTCGTTAGTTTGCCATTCACAGCTCAACGTAAAACCGGTTTTATTAGGAAACAAAGTTACGATCTGCGGCTTCACCGGCTCAGTAAATCACATCGAGGAGTACAGAGGGTGAATACTCCTCCTACAGACACAGCTTCAGACACTGACCGGAGGGGAAGGGGGGCACCGTGTCTTTAGTCGGTGTGCTTCTTTACTATGGAATCGATATAGTATTTTGGGGGGTTGCCTCTTATTACCTCTCTATAACATTCCCTCTGGCCTCATGGAAAGGGAGCTATCCCATAGATCACATCTTTCCTTACAAAATAAGGGCCAGGGGCCCCAGTGCATTGTGACCCAATGGAGGTTATTTACTAAAGCTGGAGTGTGCTAAATTTGGTGTTATTCTGCATAGAAACCAATCAGCTTCCAGTTTTGTTTGTCAAAGCTTAATTGAACAAGCTGACTGTCTACCATGCACAGCTGCCCAAGATTCTGAGTGTTCCAGTTTTAAAAAAATCAACCCCAATGTGTTGGCAAAGTACACTCACCAGCCACTTTATTAGGTACATCTGTTCAATCAGCCAATCACATGGCAGCAACTCAGTGCATTTCGGCATCTAGACGTGGTGAAAACGACTTGCTGAGGTTCAAACTGAGTATCAGTGCCTGTGAACGTGGCATGGTTGTTGGTGCCAGACAGGCTGGTCTGAGTATGTCAAAACTGTTGATCCCAGGAGGCCAGCAGTTTTTAAAATGATGCCTAAATGCATTGAGTTGCTGCTGCTATGTGATTGGCTGATTAGCAGTTTGTGTTACCAAGCAATTTAACAAGTGTAACTAATAAAGTGGCCGGTGAGTGTATCTTGCAAATGGATATAATTAAATAAAATTACATAGATACTTTACAAACTACCCAAATAAATTAGCAACTTGCTCTCCAGAGGATTTACCCCCCTTTGTGACCAGGCCATTTTTTGCGATACGGCGCCACGTTATTTTAACTGACAATTGCGCAGTCATGCAATGCTGCATCCAAATGAAATTTACATCCTTTTTGCCCCATGAATAGAGCTTTCTTTCGTTGGTATTTGATTGCCTTTGTGTTTTTTATTTTTTGTGCTATAAAAAAATGACCGACAATTTTGAGATAAAAAGCAATATTTTTGACAATTTGCTATTAACCACCTCCCGTCCGGCCGTTGTATATAAACGGCTGGACGGTGGCAGTGCAGGGTGGGGTGGCCATTTATAAACGGCCTCCCCACCCCCTGCTTGTGCGCGTTCCCTGGGATCCGGTGCCCACTGGCTCCTCCGGACACAGTGGAACACCGATCGTCGTATGGGACCTCTGTGCGAGGTCCCGATCATGTGATCACTGATTGGCCAATCAGTGATTACATGCAGAGTAGTAAGCAAGATGTCACTTCTGACATCATTGTCTACTACGTGTGAAATCTGTGAATGATCACAGAGGTCACATGGTACAAGGCTACTCACAACAGCCTTGTACCATGTGACAAGCTGTGACCAATCACAGCTCACACAGTAGTTCTCAATGGCTGCAAGAATTCAGCCAGAGAGAAGGAGAAATGATTGCTTTTACAGCCTTTATGGGTGTAAAAGCAATCAGTGTAAAAAAAAATCTTCATCACCCCCCACAAGTAGTACAGTGTCACCATGGTGACACTGTACTGCTAGGGTGACAGTATGTAAAAAAAAAAGTAAAAAAAAATGTTTAAAAATTATAATTTTTGGTTATAAAATAATTTGGGTTTTTTTTTTACTAAAAAGATAACGGAATAAATTTTAGCCAAGATGTATGATGAAATATTATTTATTTGCAAAATTTTAAAAGAAAAACACTTTTTTTCAAAATTTTGGGACTTTTTCATTTACATAGCAAAAAAAATAAAAATCCCAGTGGTAAATAAATACCACCAAAATAAAGCTTTTTCTGTCTCAAAAAAATGCTAAAAAATTCAGATGGGTACAGTGTTGCATGACCGCGCAATTGTCATTCAAAGTATGATATCACTGAAAGCTGAAAATTGGCCTGGACAGGAAGGGGGTAAAAGTGTCCAGACTGGAAGTGGTTAAACATATCCAGTAAAAAAAAATTCAAAAATCAAATTTCTTTGCTAAAACAAAAATCCCAATACTTGTAAATTAATTGGTTTACGTGAAAGTTATAGCGTTTACAAATGGCGGTATATATACTGGGATTTTTTTTATTTATATATTTTTTTTTCACTAGTGATGGTGGCAGTCAGCGACTTATAGCGGGACTGCGGCGGCCATTATGACACTGGGGAGAATGACTTGGTGTGATTGATATCCCCTGTGACACCAATACAGTGGTCAGTGCTAATAAAAAGCACTGACACTGTACTAATGGCACTGGGCAGGAAAGAGTTAACATTTGAGGCGATCAAAGGGTTAATTGTGTGCTGTTTTACTGTGTGTGTGCTTCACTGTAAGCACACTGCTATGCATGGCTCCGCTATGCAAAGCCATGCATAACAGTCTGCAGGAGCTGACAGGAGAGAGAACTGTTTTGTTTACTTATAGTTCTCTCCCTCCATCAGTAATTCTGCTCGATCACCGGGCGCAGGCAACTAATCACCGACCTGAACCCTGTGATTGACAGCCGAGGCCATGAATAGCGGTGCAGGTAGGGCACGTGTGTGGGTTTTGCGCGCCCCCTACCAATGCAAAATCACGTATATATATGTGATTTTGCGCACCCCTGCCACCCTGTAGCAATATATCTGCTATAGGACGGAGGGGAAGCGGTTAGTAGCAGTTTTTGGGGTTTTTTTTTTTTTTAAGCTTTACCTTTTAGCATTACAAATCCATGCTCTAATTTTCTCTATAAAATGTTCTTCTTAAACAAATTGCCTTTTTTTTTAATACAATCTTTCTTTTTGCTTTTTTTATCCTTTCTTTCATTTCATTGATGCTGAACTTGTGTTACCTTTTAACAGCCAATTCCTGTCTACATGCACTCCATCAAATGCATGGCATTTCTTAGGGAGGTGGACCATGCATGTGTGTTGAAATACTGTACTTTTAGTCTCTTTGGAAGCCCATGTGGCCGTGTGACAGCACAAGAGCACAACTGGGAGAAACAGTAAGAGCGTTGTCACCCTATAACAGGAAGTGTCGGAACAAGATTTTCATGGCAGGGTCACCAGGGATTAATACAATGAATGATGCAGATTTACAAATGTTTAATATGAGTTTGAAAGAACATTCATGTGTTAAAGTTTATGTGAGATTTAATGATTTGGGTTTACATCTACTTTAGGCTCCAGTGACTTTGCTAAGTCGGCAATGTCATCAGTCAGCTGCAGGCAGGATGAATCATTTCCTCAGTCTCCTTTTCCATGGTGATTACAATAGGTAACATCACTGCAATGTGGTAAAGGATGAGTCCATCAAAAAGTGATATTTTAGGCATTTGGTGGACTGTAGTAGTCAACTGCTGGCTTCTTAAAATGTTAGCGATCTCCAGCACTGCGTTCTCTGCATCCCTGCGCCCTGATCAGTTCACACCTGCAGTTCCCTCCCCTCTTACAGCATCTCCTCCCCTGCTGGGATGGTGGAAACTCCACGTGAACCAGACCATGGAGATATCATCCCCAGAGTCCCAGAGAGATTAGAGAAGTCCCCATGTTTTGGATTTAATTTATGTTTTGTAAAATCCTTTGCAGCCTGATTCAGCAGAATTCTCACAGTGCTCCTGGGCATAAGCACACGTGTTTTGTCACCTGACAGGCACCCCTCAGGATCTCAGAAGTCCAGTCCAGGTGAAGCACTGCAATATCCGGCCATTGCTGAACTTTAATTATCTTGGCATTTCCAGAGATAAACTGTGATAGCTCTGGGCAGGAACTGGGTATGTTATCATTTTATTGTACAGTTTTACATGCTAAAATGCCGGTATATTATTTTGCTCTCTGGAGCAACTGGCAATCACTTAATTGTCTGTACAAATATGGGTTAAGGACCTGTTCTGTAAAAGACGGCGGTGTTAATAAGGCTGCAGATCTTCGGATGCCCAGCTTCTGCATACAAATAAGATATCGGTTGTAACTGTACAACAGGCACGAGTCTGTCATGTCATCCTCCCTGAGGAGTTTCAGTCCCTTGAGACGTGAAGTGGCAAATGTGTTTTTCTTAAGAGTTATACCAAGCTGACAATTTGTGGTGTCCCGGGTTACATTATCTGCAGGGATAAATGGTGGCCCTATTGGTAAAGATCAGGAACTGAACAGTTTTTATAACTGAAGTTTAATCTGCTTATATTTTGGCTTCCCTGGTTCCTCCTTTCCCCTCCTTAACATTCTAACAAAATTAAAGATTGAACAAAGCCTTTCTGTTTTCAATACATACCTTATTTTAGATCCAGTGACATCATCACTGGCTCTCTGTGCTTCCCTATGCAATACAGTCACCTCATAGAAAGAGCTAGCAGGCTTGTCTACTGGGCTTCCAGTGGCAATGCCCTCATGTGTTGCTGAGTCTTCATGATTGAAAGAACTGAAATCCAATGAATGAATGGGGTGGTCCAGGGACAGGAAGGAGGAGGCAAGAGTTAGCTGATGCTGGACGTCTTCCAGCCAGGAAAATGAGGTGGGCTCTGTTTCACTGTCTGGCTTGTAATGCACATTGTGAGATACTCGCAGTGTGCAGTGAAATGAAAGTAAGCAGTTTCAGTACAGGAGAGGAACACCTGTACAACTGTGCAAGACAGAAGGGAAGGCTGAAGGTCAGATTTAAAATGCCTTTTTGTTACTGTGCACTCAAGGAGAGCCACACCAAGTTTAATCCAACAATTTGTAACTTCACACAAGATCATTCTCTAACTCCTCATTGCTATGGGCTAACCTTCACAGGTTCTATGCAGGCAACACAACGATGTAACAGAACTTTGAGGAAGGACCCTGGAGTATTCTCCTCCTCCTCACACACTGTTGGCCAGCTTCTGTGTCATTCACTTGTCGTCAGTAAGGCTACTTTCCCACTGATTCACAGCAAAAACATTTGACTCAAAAAACACACTGCGGGTGCATTTTTAATGCATTTTTGTCCTGTTTTCTATTGATATACCAATGGGTAGGTATGTTTTTGGTGCGGTTTATTTTTTTACCCCATCAAAATGCAGCAAGTGGGTTTTTTAAAAACTCACCTGACCCACAATGGATCAGTGTGAAGAATTCCATAGAAATACACGGGCACGTTTTTCTTCCACTTTTTTTAAATGTAGAAGTGGAAGAAAAACAGATGAGTGTGAAAGCAGTGTAATAGATTTGTAGTACTGATCTGTAGCCCCTTCCTTTCTTCATACTTCTATTACACCATCCCTTTGTCTGGACAGGACATTGTCCTCTTGATTCCTAGGCATGGAAATAAATTCCAACTTTACAGACACTGCTAAGTAAAACACACAGCTCCTACCTCTGTATTAATTCTATTGCTGAGAGATAATAGATAATATTTGCAGTCTCTATACTTGAATTTTCCTAATCTGATTCTTTTGTTTGTGCAAAATTTTTGTGTCGATAAATGAGGACATTACTCGATGACCTCATAGAAGTCTCTGCCGCATCTGTTTAATTTTACAAGATGCAGATTAATTAAACATAAAAGGATCATTACTCATGATAGCTCACAGGGGAGCAATCTTCGGGAAAAGGAAAAAAAAGTCCTTCGATGTTTTGTGCCCATGATGTATGACAATACGGGCTTATGTTTTCCAAATAATATTCTATAGATCATTTTTATGGAGCCGGGAGAAACTCTGTGATGTTCTACTCCTAGGAAGAACATTATCAAGATGAATGGATTACATTTAATGAGAACAGATTACCATCCAAAACTGATGAACAATTGGCCGACCCACACATTTTGATATGAACACAGTTCCCTAGATAATTTTTTTTTTTTTGTAGAAAATTCTTTTTTTTCCCCTGTAACCTGCTTTCATTTGTCAGTTTCATAAAACAGCAGAGGAAGTGTTTTTTTTTTTTTGTTTGTTTGTTTTTTTGTATATGGGGGCTTTACAGTTTCTGACTGTACCATATGTTGTTGTTCCTTCTTTATCTTCTCAGTTTTGTTTAAAATGGGGCCACAGCCAAAAATGTTTTTTTATAAAGTATCAAAGGACTACCGCGCTCTGTCACGGATTTATTGCTCAACCATAGAAGTATATAGAAAAAGAGCTCCAAACCAAAAGATGAGGGAGTTCAAAATGCTTTTCATTGTAAGTAATTTGATCATTTAAAACAGCCAATGTGTTTTGGGGGCCAAAACATTCCTCCTCCATCGGGACCCGGATAACGAAATGAGGACTTTAATGGACTCTAAGGAAACAATAACCAAATGGATCTGTATTGAATTTGATTACATTCCTCCTTATGGACTGCTAATGTGATGATACAGTCAGGGAAAGTTAAATTGAATTTTAACTCCTGCTGACTATAGTATCACATTAA